AACGCTCCGACAAAGAACTGAGAAAAAATTTGAGGTTTGTAACTAGACCAAAACGCAGGCATATAAATTATGCTTTGGAGCAGTTTAGAGTAGAGGTCATAAGAACACTTATGTAAGCTGATAAAACGCTTTATTATAAATCATAAGTATATCAAAATTCAGCTTAATAAGCCAAGATAAATGGCTCGGGGATATTGCTCCTTTAATTTAGGCCACTGAACAATGACATCGGAAAACGACGAGTAATAGAGAATTTTCCCTGTGAGTGAAAGCGACGCAGTACGGCATATACTCTCAACGAATACAACTGCAAATTGGCGTCTGCGCAAAAGCTAATGTACAAAACGAATATTAGGTTTATAAATCATAGTGTAAAATCCAGATAAAAATTACTTGTATAACGGCGTAGCTAAAACATATCGGAACACAGGTTCCAGGCCCATTGCAAAGAACCTAAAATAACATTATTAATAAACGACTTTAAAAAGCCAGGTCTACCAGATCCGGGGAGAAAGACAAAACGACCTCGAAAGATTTAATAAAAGACCATAAGGTAGTGAATATGCTAGTTAAATATGACTGTCCAACTTCACGAGAGCGAGGAACGTATTTTATCACAAACTACAATATGCCACCTAATGACAACATACAGGGGCCTTGTCGGGCTCATCTCTTGAGGCCTCGATCGAAAGAACTTTCTCTTCACTAAATTTGTCAGAGCTCGCAAGAACATAGATCTTGGGGGCGTATTTCTTCCCCATAGCCCTGGTGTATCGGACCATCTCTGATGTGTGGCCGCCTATGACGAATAATAAATTATTTTATGTTTAGACAACCAGAACCAATTACTATCATCGTTTTACATGTATAGATTCTGCCTTGCTTTCCAGAAGGGTAAAATAAATACAAAAGCAAAAGAACGATTAAGGAAATAACCAACAACGAGAGCATGGGACTAGACCGAGTGAAAGACGCGCGCGGCAATTTGCAAGGGTAGCCAAGCTGTTATTTTTTAATGTTTATATTTAAATATTATTTAACATTGCCTGCATTGTTATTTATTTCTGCATATTTGCATTAAGATAATTAACAAAATGGTAATTTAATAATTAAATATACTAGGTAAAAAGATCTCTACATCTTAATTTAATATTATGGATGGGAGCGGTTCCTTTAGGCACTTGTTTTAAAACGTAGGAACCTATAAATATTCGTCCAAATTTTAATTTCGCTTAGAGGAATAAATATTAATTCGAATTACTATTTGGTTCCCTATGAATTAGCACTTGCCCATCCCATGCATTTTATGTGACCCTGCGAGGTATTGATCACCACCCGATCTCATAAGAATGAATATATATATAAACACCTTTAAAGTAAAAATGCGAAGAGATAAAATCGATAACAGATTTGATCCAAAGTCACCTGCGAGTAGTGGGCTGAGTTTTCGTTAAAGTTAGTTCAATATAAAATAAGAAAGTAATAAGGAAAAAAAGCTTTTCGGAGTATAACGAATTAATAACTACGATTATTTTTCCTTTTTTCTTGAAGATCCACTCCTTCGCTTAAATTTTGCCCAGTGGCATTATTTGCATCGTACAACACTGCGTTTATATTGAATATGGGCATCACAAATAACGATGCCCATCCACGTCATAATAATGACGTGGATTATTGCTTCAATCAACATATGGCGTTGCTTAATAATGTAACGTTGCCGTAAAGACTGTCAATCTGCTAATTATTTAATGGAGTAGTAAACAAGAACAGGAGTTTCATGAAAGATAATTTGTTCATCGTTCTTCCTGAAATTTGT